TGGCTTAGTTGGTTAAGTGTTTACATTTGGCTCAGGTCATGATCCTGGGGTCCTGGGATCAAGTTCTAGGATCGAGTCCCTTGTGGCTCCCTGTTCAGCCGGTAGACTGCCTCTCCCTCTGCCTCTGCATACCCCACACCATCACTCGTGTGCTCTCTCTCTCTCTCTCTCTCTCTCTCAAATAAATAAAATATGTAAGAAAAAATAAAAGGCACTAAGAAGACCTGTTTTGTTGAGTTGATGGGAAGTTTAGGCTTAAAATCTATAAAGTGACTTGAACACAAATGCTGAGCAAATACTAGCTGCACTTAATAAAAATCATTGCCTTTATTGCTAATTTCCTGGATCTTAAAGAAGAGCTCTCATCCATTTGAGATAGCAAGGAATAACTGTTTGGTAAACCTGGCCCAGCATCAGAAAGAAATAGACAATTTTCTGTGGTCAACATGTGCAGAAATAAATACAGTATGAAAAATAGTGGATAGGTGTGAGATTATCTAGTTAGAAGGTAAGTTTAATGCACAAAGGGCAGCCCTTAAAACGAAATATATAAATAAATCCTCTGAGTTTTCAGATGCAAATAGCATACCTCTGAATAACGAAGTCTTAGTGCATGGAAGCAGTCCAGGGATTGTAAGGACCTTCATTGTGTAGCTCATTTTTGTAGAGCCTTCTCGATGATCCCATGGCTTTGCTTGCTGTTGGAAGACTCAGGGAAGGGGAGTATTGAAACCATTATTATATGACATAAAAACATAGCTCAGTTTGAATTATGGGCCCATATATATATCTTTGCTAACACCCTTGCCATTCAACTTTCACTCAGGTGGTTTGTTATCAGAAGACTGAGGTAGACCCATAGTCCCATAATTCAGAGGCCTGTTGTTAGCTTTCTAGGTGCATACATATGAGGCTATTTGCTCTGGATTGAAGGACCAATTTAACTTCTCTGGAGCAATATAAAATTAGTTAAATTTTTTTTTTTCCTTACAGACTTTGTGTCATCTGTAAGTATGTTTCAATAAAGATGACAAAATTATAGTGTAGAAATGATTTGAAAATTAGGCTTTGTAGTCAAAAAGAGAGAGAGTTACTCTCCAATGTCTGTCTCTGCCTGGTATATATCTGCTTCCAGTTAGTTCTAAGGCAGATAATCTCTGATGCCTAAGTATTATTTAATCATGGAAATGCCTTAACTGTAGCAGGTGGGATCTATTTTATGGCTGGCATCTTTAATGCTTGCTGCATTTGTCCATCTGTTAGGAACATTAGTCAAAAATGCAAGGAGACATTTATTAAAAGTGGAATTGTGGTGGATCAGATACTGAGCACATAAATATAATGTATATAATTTCTATAAATGTATTTTATATATGATCTATGGTAAGATGCTTACAAAAGAATTATTATTGCTATATTTTTAAATGAATATAGTTTTATTTTGAAATGTAGTTTCAGGGGCGCCCGGGTGGCTCAGTTGGTTAGACTTCCCACTTGATTTTGGCTCAGGTCAAGATATCAGGTGATAAGATTGAGTCCTGTATAGGGATCCATGCTGGCTGTGGAACCTGCTTAATATTCTTTCTCTCCCTCTCCCTTTGTCCTACCCCACCCCTTCAAAAAATTTTAAAAAAATTAAATTTAGCTTCTGATAGACTTTAAAATTTCTAGCATGCTAAAGATAATTATTTTTGTTATGTAAGCACATTAATTCATTTCTTCAAAAGTTTAATATTTGAGACTGCATTAAACTTTTAAGGCAAGCATCATGCTAAATACTGTCATTCTAATTCTGATGGGAAAAGAGATATGGCTGCTTTCTCCATGGTTCCCAACCACATAGTAGGCTCCCCAGAGGTAACTTCAAAGTGAGACAAGTGCTATGGAGTTAATTATCAGGACGCTTGTATTGGAGAATAAATAGGAGCTCTCTATCTAGACAAGTTCCATAGAAGGGAGCAGAAAAGTAAGCAGGGAAGGGGGAGGTACTTATCTTCTAGATTTCTAAGATCAAGAACAGGCCTTATACTCCAACATGGTACAGAGCTTGGTGTGTCCTGGAATGCAAAGGAGAGCCAGGATCATGGAATAGGGGAGAGTACTAATAGATAAGATTAGAGAGGAAAATACTATATCAAATTAGGTAGTATCTGGTAGGCCTTGGTGAAGAATTTGGCTAGTGAATCTCATCTTAAAACAAGTATTTACACTTAATTAATTATTTTTGTATACCCACTCTTTGCTACAAAAATCTTTCTTCCTCATAAGCTGCAGACATCACAGAAGATTTGAAAGCTACTTTTCAAGATTTTTTTTCTCCTTTAATATGTGAAGATTTTTTTTAAAAACCTCAATGAGCCCTGAAATATTAACATCAAGCAAATACTTTTCCATAGATATTGTGAAGGACTTTGAATTTGGGGAAAGTTAAGAGTGTCTCTTGCCTCACTGTGTAATGCTAGGAAACACTTGCCTTTTTTTTTTTTTAAGTAAGAATGGAAGTGATACTCTCAACATAATTGACAGCATAGCAGAAATAATGAGACAGTTGAAAGGAAGAAGAAGTAGGGATAAAGTAATTAAAGGGCTAAGAATTAAAAAGTTTGGTAAAAAATATAGTACTCTACTTCTTTGGTTACTTCTGAATCCTTTATTACTAGATTTTTATAAAATGTATGTTGTCTTATGTAGTAAAAATCATTAGGATCAAAGTTATCTCTAAAAAGTTTCAATTTCTAGCCACATTGTACTAAAAGTATGAATGGCTGAAATTTTAGCTTATTTTTATAAATACCAACTTTATTAGGTTTATTTACAAAGTGAAAAATCAAAACTCCTGCTAAGCAGAACCTAGAAAGTGGTATCTATATATCTATATCTTTATTGCTAATGTAAATGAGAAGATCATAGTTTTGTCCCATGGCTGAGTATAATCAAGCCAACCAAACAGAAGAAATCAGATGATGTTCCATACAAAAAGAAATAACATGTTACTTCATAACATGTTAATATGGTAACATATCCTTTCTTAGAAAGAAATTTTATCATAAGGTTATGGCTTTGATATGGGTATTTGATTAATACTTGATTTAAGAAATTATTATCTTCATTGAATATTACAATGGCTACTTCTGAGCTGTAGTAATATTATTAAGGAAATTATCATTACAGGCCAGGAAGTAAAATGTCTTTATACAATGTATGTAGGGCGATTATCCAGCATAGTTTTGTATGCTTTTAAGTCATTGTTCAAAATTAGACTTGAGTTAGATTAATAATATATTTTCATTGCTGAATCTCAGATTATATCATACATTCAGATGTGTATGCCACTACAGGGAACAGATAGTCATTGTCATTATTTGATGTTTCATGTATTAAAAATAATGATGATACATGATTATGGAACTGGGAAGCTCAGGATATATAGAGACTTCCAAGTAAATGTTACTATTAAAGCTGAACTGGATGAATTTTATAAAGGCAACCAATACTTGATACATCTTATTAGAAGTTACCCAGTATAAGACCAATCTTATGAATATTCATTTTCACGTTGTTGAAGGCAAATGGTGGATTTTGGATGTTAACAGTATAATAAGTTAAATATATATTTTATTTGTTTGTTTCAATATATACTTTGTGTAAATCTCACAACCTGAACTATTCATTCATTCAACGCATATTTATTGAACATGTACTAGATTCTTGGGATAGATCAATGAACAAAACAGAGTTCTGTGACATCTTAGAGGTAATATTCCAACTATACAATTTAGGCCAAAATCAAACATAATAGGAATGTAAAATTTGGGGATGCCAAAATTTCTATGAAGTAAAAAATGGTTTTTCTTAAGTTCCTTACTAATAACTATGTCTACTACACATTATGTGAAAGCATTTAATTAGCTTAATGTTGAAGGTGAGATCTGCACATATTTGGATTATATTTTTCTATTTTCTTGGACTTACTAGATTTTTTCTGTTTCCTTATATTTTAACACTGTCGATCAGCTGTGAGTCATTTTGCAAATATTTATATGGCAATATTCATTTTTAAAAATGCCTGGAAAATTTTCCTTTTCTGATTACCTTCTGCTATATATCTTATAACTTGGAATTTAGATATATTTTATACAAATATATCCAAAGTTTAGTCCATGCCACAAAGTTGACAGCTTAAAGGGTGTTACATTTGAGAAATGAGCTTACATTTCTCGTTTTTACTTACATTTTTACTTACATCATTACATTTTTACTTACATCAAAAAAAATGAGCTTTTGTTTTGTTTTTCCCCTGGATTTCTAATTTTCCATTTCTTATTTCCGCTTCATTCAAATGGGATTATTGAATGTGTCCAATATTTGATATGCTTTTCTTTTTCACATAACCGTGGGTTTCTCTGTTGGTTAAAGTTGAGTAATATATTTCCATCTTAACATTTAATTGTTTGGTTAATTTCACTTCAAGGAGGAAAGACTATATAGTTCATTGATAGTGAGGAAATAACCTAGGAATCTTTCATATAAATAGCAACAAATGTGCACAATAGTTACATTACATGGTATATTTAACAACACTGCTAAGGAGTAAGATGGGAGCTCAGTCTTTCGCAATGGAGATACACTTGAGTGCATTCAGAGAAAATTTGGTTCTGCAAGCTTGGAGGAAGTAATTGTCATTCAACAGAATTCAACTAGCTTTGCATATCAGTAACACCCACACAGGCATACTCTTATCTGTTTTCTGAGTGCTCTTGAACTGATATCAAAATAGCAAATATATATTTATGAGAACTAGAAATTCTATGTTATTTTTGATCACATAAACTCAATATAATTATGAAATTAACTTTGAGAATATGTGAAAAATGTTACTTCCTAAACAAGTGAAGATAGAAGAAACTCCACAAATTTTGTATCATCAGCCTACTTAGTTTTTATGTTCACATTTGTCCCCCAATGTAATGAAATTAATTATTTTTATTGTTCATTTTTAGATGGAAGACTGTATTTGAAAACTACTGTCATGTACTGAATTTTTCCTGTTGAAGAAATCCATGTTATAGTAAAGAACTTTGCAGACATTCGTCATTGGAAAGTTCGGAAAAAAATAAAAGTCCTTTTAAGGGAACTTCCTCAATTTTGTGTATTAATGTTCTTTAAAAGTTTAAGTATTCTACAAAAACAAACAGTTTCCTCCATTGATTTTCACCTGTGGTTCATACCAGAGACCTGAGAATGTTTGTAAATGTACAGGTATCCAACTTCTTACAGTTAAAAATTGCAACTTTGCTGCTGGACACTTGTATACCGAGTTAAAGGCAGGTCTGAGTAAGGCCTCGCTTTGGGTTTTTTTTTTTTTTTTTTTTTTTTTTTTAATGGAATGAACATTTTCCTCCTCTGAAAATTCTGTATCTGAGTACATCAAGAGACTCTTGTACCAGTTGTCACCCAGACTTACAGAATTATGTCCTCCAGAAACCAGCAAGAAAACTTGGAAATGAACTTGTAGGGGGCATAGAGGATTCCTAAAAAAACAAAAAAACAAAAACAAAAACAAAAACAACAAAAAAACACAAAAAAATAAATAAAACAAAAAAAAACAAAAAAAATCAGTAAATCAAAGAGTAATATTCTATTACATTCGATTTTAAACTAATTGTGGGTTTTCTCCTGAAGATTTTTTTCACATACTTCCAAAAGACCAACAAATGGATGTTGACAACAACCCAGTGAAATACCATTTTGCATATCTGAAAAGAAGCATTGAATATAAGCCAAAAGGTTTCACTGAAGGTCTTTTTTCTTAAAAAAAAAAAAAAAAAAGTAACATGTTTTCATTCCAAACTGGTAGTGGCATAGAGAATTTAAAATAATAATGATGCTTCTTATTCAAACTGTTGGTCACATGTACAGTATATAAACATAAAACATACAAGGAAGGTATTATGTATGCAGTAGTATACTAGAGTTTAGGAAAATGAGAATTTTAGAAAATATGTTTTGTCACCCTGTTAGTCAGAAAGACACCTTTCTGGTTTTAACGCATGCAGGCATGTAAATATTCGTCTGGAGTCACAGTATTAATGAATGAGATCTTAAGCATCTGGTGACATCAGAACTCTGTCAGCCACTTTTATTTGTATATTGAACCCTAGTTAGTGCCCCAAACTGCACTATTGAGAATGGATTGTGGCTGAACAGTAAATCAAAACACCAGAAATATTTTTATATGTTAATGTCATATTATGTTAATGTTGCTGAAAAACAGACCCTAACAAACCCTTGATGTATCAGTCCAATACCATGTAGCACTGAGTGATAAAGTTAAAATGTGTTGTGCTTCCCCACCCCCGGTCAGAGGGAAGGGTGCCTATGTGTTATTTTCACTGTCTTTTTGAAAGTTACAGTATGTATTTTCACTTTTGTGCAGATAACTGGAAGTAAAGCTGCAACAGTGCTTATTACACACTGAAGTTACCTTCTCTTTGTTTTTCCTAATCTGGAGTTACACCTTTAAAGACTGATATTATGAATCAGTACAGTCGCTGTGCATTTTATGATTTTGCTGTCATCTTAAAATTTTATGATCATAGCATTATTTATTACCATAAATAGCAAAATCTGAAATGTCCAAGAAAACTAGCTTAAAAATGTGTTTAAAGATAGTTCTGATTCGGTGTTAATTATTTGGTTAAGAGAAGAAATTAACATTACGGATACTCTGGCACTAAGCTTCTGTAGTTTTTAGGTCTTCCTTGCAATACTGGAACATATTTCTTTTGTGTAGTTTGCTATTAACCCACTAAGTCCATTTTTTTACTACAATGAAAAAGTTATATATACAGTTCCTATTTTAGCTTGCTTGAAAGGGAGCAATATTTTTATTTAAAATACTGTTAGTAAATGCTCTGTAGAAACTTGGTTTTCGAGGCATCATTCTTCCATACCCATCTTTTGTTGTTTGAGCACAAGAGATTCTAGTCCTTGTTGTATGTATTTCTTGTTTTTCCCTGTACACAGTCTTTAAAGGATTACAACACTTAAAATTGGAGGGACTTGTGGCAAGCTTTTGAACCATACATTTTTTAAAAGATTTTTTAAAAAGCCTACAACTTACCTAAGTAGTAGAATCGACCATTGCTCTGCTCCTTGCATAGAGTCCCCTGTTAACTAGGTTAAATAGTTTTAATATGCATACTTTCGAGACCCTTGAGAATGCTTTAGTGTTTGGTTTGATATAAAAGGAATTTTAGCAAGGATTAAAGAAAGAAGCTATCAGCTCTATGTTAAGAGAATCTTACTAACATGTTGTAAATATTACAATTCATGAAATGTTATTTTAAGTCTGTAACTTAAGTTGTTTCTCCTTTTTTAGTTATACAGGTTGGTTTGGAATTTGTTTTCATTTCGGGTTGGTTTGTTTTTTTTTTTGGTATAAACAAGTAAAATTGTGCCCATTTTATGGTTTCCATGCTTTTGTAATCCTACAAATATTAACGTCTAGTTGTTCTATATTATAACCACATTTGCGCTCTATGCAAGCCCTTGGAACAGAACATACTCATCTTCATGTAGGACCTATGAAAATTGTCTATTTTTATCTATATATTTAAAGTTTTCTAAAAATGAGAAAAGGTTATTACGAATTTTGTTGTACAAAATCTGTACAAAAATCTGTTTTTACATCATAATGCAAGAATTGGAAATTTTTCTATGGTAGCCTAGTTCTTTGAGCCTGGTTTCAATGTGAGAACCACGTTTACTGTTATTGTATTTAATTTTCTTTTTTCTTTTCAACAATCTCCTAATAAAACTGTCTGAAATCTCCCTGTGACTTTATTTACAGTTCGTCTTTATTAAATTTTGTGAAATGCATAGCATTGAAGGAATATTTACTTTCTAATGGGAGGCATCTAAAAACAACATAAGTCAGCTCTTTGCAATGCGAGGGGAACAATGCTCAATGATTTTATTTAACATGCAACTGCTTCTATCTCTAATATGAATTACTGTGCTGAAAAACATCATAAAAGCACACTCTGTAGTTATTGTTTAACAAGCAGATTTTCCATATTTTGTTTCTTGCCAGCTAAGCAAACTGCCCATATATACATGATTTATTTATGTACATTTCTCAGTTTATGAAGCTGTTATTTGTACCCTTTTCCTTTATATTCTTATATTCCCATGATTCTTATTTCACAAAGCTTTGTGCTGAATAATGTAAAGTAGACATGTTGATGGAACAAAATATATTATTCCCATATCTATAAGAGTGTAGATTTGTAACTCTTAGTGTTTTGCTTTCATTCTCTATCATTCGAAAAAATGCCTTTAGAAACTTTGATATTCCAATATCTTTTAATAATATATACACGTTTTAATCAATCCAAAATGCTGCATCTGAAGAAATATTGGGTTACTATCTCTGTGAATATTCTAAACATTCCCAAGAGAATGGAAAATGGATTTTCTTTCTGTCAAAAGAAATTATTCCATGAATTAACAAAATATGATTTTTCCCTAATAAAAACTTAAAATGTTTATGTGACCATTACAAACACATTTTTGTCTTCTGTCTTCATATGTTTATGTCAGTAAGACTTGTACTAAAACATCATACAGTCTTTGGATGTTAGTGGAATTTGGTAATGATTTGAGATTTTTCCCCCATGTGTTCTCATCGGAACTAGCAAATTTACAATATGAACAAAAGCTATTTATGACCACATGAGAGTAAATTACAAATGAAAGTTATATGGATTGCATTTTTACAATATGGGAAGTAGAGATGTTAATAGAATTAAAACGTTATTGTAAATGGCATTGTAAAAAATACCACTTTTCTTCATGTGTAGGCTTGGTGCTAACATTTATCTTTAATATGTACAACTGGTATATAAAAGCTGAACTGATCCTCATTTATTCATTTAAACAGATTCATTAATAAAGCCTCTATTCTGCACAAAGCACTGTGCTAGATGTTGTAATGACTCAAGTGGAAAACTTAGCTGTTGTCCCAGAGGAGCTGATAATTTTGTTGGAATAGGAAATTTCACTTTCAGCAAGAAAAGAGTCATTGAGCATCTTTTAATGTGTAGGGGCCATGGAGCTGGTTTCAACAAGACACCGACTAGACAACTTCCCAAGGAATGGTACTAATGACCCATTTTGTACACTCATCTTCTAGAGGATAGTACGATATGTTTGTGAGTTAAACAATTGGGTAGGAATTGGGGAAATGGATGGATACAGCTTCTTCTAAGTAAAACACTATACCAGCTGTTGTTTTCATGTTATCTTTCATTTATTTCAGAGCGTTTGTCTTACTAATGCTCACCAACTTTTTTCTTTAAGGTAAGTAGCCTATTTAATCACACACACACACATTATCATCAACCACAAATTCCTACTATGTTGGGACTTTTTAGTATAGTTGTAATATTCAATTTTTATTGCCCAACATCTATAGCTCTATGGTAAAATGGACTCAATTGATTCAAATACAGAGCATAAATGCCTAAAGGCCAAAAGAGTTCATTGGGTAATGAATGAGTTTTGTAGTGGGAGCAGCATCAATTGTATTTATAGGTGAACGAGCTGGAGATTTTGAGTTGACACTTTGGATCAGTTGGGGCTTCTTCGGTTGGTGTAACAAAAACTGATTCCTGCAAATGGTTAAAGAGCAGAAGGAACTGGTCCTAAAGATGGAGAGGGTACACATGGAATCTCAAGCCCGGATTGCAGCCAGCCCCTAGAGACCAGCTCCCTCTTACTTTCACGCCTCTGCTGCTCTCAGTGTTTCCTCTCAGTATGGACATATTTGTTTCTCTTGTTCACCTCTTGACTCCTCCATTATTCAGGAGCATAAGACCCAGGCCACAGAAGTGAGACAGTAGTCATTGTCTCTCCCTTGTCCTGATTCAGATTACCTGAAGATTCTGATTGCCTCATGTCAGAGCACATGCAAGCAAGGTACCCGGGCAGTCCATTAGATGCATCTAGGGAATTTTAGGTATACTATGTCCGATTAAATTTAAATCTCTGGGGGTTGGTGCTAAGGCCTATGTTCCTCAGGTGATTCTTATGAATAGCTAAGGTTGGAGACCACTGTCTGGGAGACTGGCAAATACCTCATCGTAGAAAATGACTTAGCAAGACTTTTTCCAGGGCAGGAGCATGGTTGGGGATGGGTGGGGGATGGGTGGGGGGCATTACAAGCTACACACACACTATAAGAGCCAACCAGTAGTTCTACAAAATCACTAAATAAGGCAAAATCTGTAAAATATTTAATATATATTTTTAAAAAGTAGTTTTAGCATTGTGAACTTAATTCTGAATATGAATTTGCAATCCCAATAAGGTACAATAGAAGACATCTTATTTTTTTTCCTAAATAAAATTATTGAATAATCTGACAACAGAGCTGCACAGGGAGATACAAATTCTATTTCAATAATTACTGAGGCTTTCTCCATCTAAATGTTCTCAGTCCAAACATTCTCCTCAGTTTGTACCATTTGGAGGGAATGCTCGGGTTTTCATGCCTAGGGTCCAGCCTTTAAGAAGCAGCTCTAAGCCCTTCTCTTCAGAGGGCCTCCAGATTTGTGGAAGCATAAATTATAACACAATTTGGTGTGATTCTCAATGTAGGGAGAGCAAATAACCAAGATAATTATGTTATAACTGAGGAAGTAGGAGCTTCCTGAGTAGGAGTGAAAGGGTGTAACATTTCTATGTTTTATTTGAACTTATAAAATGTCAACCAATACAAGTAGACTATGGTAAGTTTTGCATCTTTAATGTAATGCCTGGAATAAGCACTAAAAATGCTATATCAACATATACATTTAGGGGCACCTGGGTGGCTCAGTGTGTAAAGCATCCAACTCTTGATTTTGGCTCAGGTCATGATCTCAGGGTCATGGGAGAGAGCCCCACGTCCATCCCCGCGCTCAGTAGGGAGTCGACGTGAGCCCCTCCCTCTGCTCATACTTTCTCTCTAAAATAAATATTTCTTAAAAAATATATATATTTATATTTATTTATTTTAAAACACTATAGATAAATCAAGGTTGAATTCAATACTGTAATAAAGTTAGCTCCCAGAAAGCAGTAAATACTTTTTGGTGATTCTTCCTTTGTGTTAAGCTCTCTTGCTAGTAGTTTCCAATCCTGTCTCCAGTTCTTTGGATATTCTTTCAACACTGCTGATTGTTGTCCGCTTTGGTCTACTACGGTAGGCAACAGAGAAAGATGAGTTGATCGATAACATCGCCGACACTGTGCACCTCTACTTGCTATTTATTTTGTGTATTCTCATCCAATGATGTATTTCCCCCTGGTATTTTCAGAAACAAAGACTGAACTTCATAAAAATTATTAAATTTAATTTTTTAAAATAGTATTGTTGGCTTCTATCCCAAGTGTGGGAGCTGGGGGAAAGAGCTGTTGATAGTAGTCAGCCCTTTTCTTAATTACTCATCTTACTAAATTTTCAAAGAAAAAGGGGCACCCACTGAGTTAGATCTTTCATTTAAATCCATTTGGTTGTCCTATGCCTGGGTTTATATAGGCTAATTAGTTGCTAGTTCCTTCCATTGATAGATTTTGGTGCTTTTTAGTATATTCTTTATGTGTGATTTTTCTTTTCCCACTAGTAGCCACTGTGAGACAACCACTGCTAGGCACCAGGCCCAGATGAAGATGGGTGAGTTCTTGGGAAATGAAGTTTCCTGCAATCTAGAACAGAACTGAGGAAGAACGGAGAATCCGATCACAGAGCACACAGGAAATGATTTAATAACACAATGTCTTTTTAGGGAAGGAAGGTTAGGGACATGGGGCAGGATGTAGAAAGTTTTTAATTGTCTAAAATGAATAGCAGGGATGTCTGGGTGGCTCAGTGGGTTAAGCATCTGCCTTGAGCTCAGGTCATGATCCCAGGGTCCTGGGATTGAGGCCCACATCGGGTTCATTGCTCAGCGGGGAGCCTGCTTCTTCCTCTGCTCTGCCTGCCACTCTCCCTGCTTGTGCTCTCTCCCTCTCACTCTCTCTGACAAATAACTAAAATCTTAAAAAAAATAAAACGAGGGGCGCCTGGGTGGCTCAGTGGGTTAAGCCTCTGCCTTCGGCTCAGGTCATGATCCCAGGGTCCTGGGATCGAGCCCCGCATCGGGCTCTCTGCTCAGCAGCGAGCCTGCTTCCCTTCCTCTCTCTCTCTCTGCCTGCCTCTCTGCCTACTTCTGATCTCTGTCTATCAAATAAATAAATAAAATCTTAAAAAAAAAAAATAAAATAAAACGAATGATAATCTAGCACTTAGATTTGACAAGTATTTACAACTGGCTATATGACGGTTTGCGGGGAGTGGGGGGAGAAACGCTGCTCATCCCTGGGGATTTGTCTGCAGTCGTCTTGATGCAGCCAAATGCACATGGATTTTGGCAAGTTGCTTACGAGTCTTTTTATTTATTGAGTGTTTTTCTGCTCATTCTTGCGTCTGAACCACGTGTGTTCATAGTAAACACTTAGGTATTCTTTTTCCCAATCAATGCCAGAAATGTTGAACAGTGCTCCGAAAGTAGCAAACTCTTTGTACATTTATCAGAGCAATAAACCAAACACACTCCTACCATGTGAAATTCAAGGCTGAGATAGGCACTGGCCCTCTGTGTCCAATAACCATTAGTGGACAAGTATCAGGTCCTCTGTGTGGTCCCACTGAGGTTTCTTTCCTAGACTTTAGATGAGAGACAGACATCTGTCACCTCTGATGGGTGGCTGGTGAATCTGAAACAGCCCACAGCCCTCACCAACAGCTATCTTCTTACATC